ATGGGTGGGAGAAGGGGAAGCCGGTTGTGCTGAATCACTGAGGGGAGAGGGGGGTTGGTTGGTTGGTTGGTCGATGTGTAGGATATGCTCTGTTCGACATGTAGGCCTGCATCGCGCTGGTTGGCGTGGTCGGGTAAATCGAGATACCCATTCATCTTTCGTTCTCTGCGATATTCCTCGCATTGCTCGCGTTTTTCGCATCGAGTGAAGGCCGCCCTTCTCGTGCTGCATGTTTGCTCCGCATGCGGCGAAGGGTCGTCTACTTGCATGACCTGTTAAATCACTGCTAGCAAACGTTCACAGCACACGCTTTTCCTCTCACCTTTGGCACCCATTCATAAACCAGCTCAGTTGCATTCGCTCTCCATTCGAACATCAAAAGCCGTTCAAAAGGGCTAGTCCAGCATCTGAGCCGAGGCTGGCCGCAGCCGTCCTTCCGTACCTCATTCCGCGCCTCTCGATCTCTCCTTTCCCCCACCATGTCAACAACAGTCAATGCCACTGTCCCCCCCACCGACGCAAATGGGTTGATCCACGGCCTTTCAGTCGAGGAGTTCCAGTCCCTCTCCAAATCATGCCTTGACGCGCGAGCGCTGGCATACTGTGCGTCCCACCCCCCAGCCTTACAACACCTACACCACCGACAACCCTACGCCCATCATTCCACTCTAAATACATCCGAGAATCCTCGCTCACGATTAAATAGGCCCCTACTCCCGCTTCCGCGTCGGCGCCTCCCTCCTCATCCACCCCTCCCCCTCCTCCCCTACCACCCCGCACATAATCTCCGGCGCCAACATCGAAAACGCCTCGTACCCCGTCGGAACCTGCGCCGAGCGCAGCGCAATGGGGACCGCTATTCTACAGGGCCACCGCTACGGCTCGTTCAAGGCCATCGGCGTGTCTACAGATATGACGGAATTCTGCTCGCCGTGCGGCATGTGCAGGCAGTTTCTGCGCGAGTTTTGCGAGGATAGTGTGCCGATATTCATGTTTTCGAGCGAGGGGAAGGTGGAGGTGAAGACGTTGGGAGAGCTGTTGCCGATGAGTTTTGGGCCGGAGAAGTTGTTGGGGAGGGAGGGGGAGGGGGAGAAGGTGAAGAGTGCGTGATTGGGATGGGGAGAGGGGGGATGAATGTTTGGAATCGCGTTAGAGGTTTCGTAGGGCTGGGTCTTGTGAATGTGGATAGATAGAGGGGGGCTATCACGGGCGGAACACTTGGACATAGATCTAGATAGAAGACGAACAGCCTTCACGGCACCAAACACCATTCCTCACTGCACCGTGCTACTACTCTACCCTCCTCTGTCAATACATCCATAAATCCAGCCTTAGCCATCATATCTATCAGTCATGCCTAGCCCCTCCACCACCCCACCAGCTCCAAGCAGCGATCTGCACTACCCTCTGATAAGCCTCCCGATAAGCCCACCCCGACCAAACACCTTTGCTTTTCCCGCCCGCATCTCCGCGGTCCATGGATTTACCCACTGACATAACTGCACCGCTCAGCGGGTAGCGCAGCAGCAGAGAAAAACAATGGAGACTCCCGCCTGGCCTGACGACAGCTCTCATTGTTCGCTCGTCGACGATCACCGCAGTTGACAGCAGGACCAAGTTGAATTGTACTAGACATGGCCGAGGGAAACGCACAGCAGACGCAACAGAGTGAGGTGGATGAGAGCGAGCATTTCTCGCCGTATAGGTCGGATGGGAAGCTGGTGAGTTCCTTACGCTTTGTCTGTCTGGTTCGGACGGGGTGCAGACGACGTGCCTGCCATATGAAAGAGCTTGGGACGAAGCAGCGCTGTGTACAGAACCGCCTGGCTAACCATCTGTCCAAAGTATGGCTTCGTGTGCGTGGTCACAGGAGCCACGCAACCCGTCGGAAAAGCCATTGTCGCTGAATTAGCTGGTGAGTATCTTTCTTTCCCCGCCCCAATTCCCTCGCGCATACTGACAACTTCAAGCCCACGGCGCGGCATGCATCTACGCCTGCCATACTCCCTCAGACTCACCCACCGACGACCTCCCCCCTCAACCCTCAACCCACCCCAACACAAAAATAATCCCCTACCCCTACTCCATAACCTCCGAAGCCGACACCCTCGCCCTAATCGACGACATCCTCAACGCCTGGGGCCGCCTCGACGTCTGGACCTCGTCCACCGGTCTTCTCGGCCCCCCCAGCATAACCTCAACCTCCCCCCGCGACCTAACCCTCGCCTTCGAAACCAACGCCGTCCCCGCCTTCTTCGCGCTCAAGTACGCGCCGGCCGCGATGCAGAAAACCACGCCGCGCGGAAATTACCCGAACGCTGCGCCAAAGGATGTCCCGTATGGAAGCATTGTGGTGGTGACGAGTGTGGCGGGGACGTATGGCGGGTGCTGGGGCCCTGCGTTTACGATGGCTTCGCATGCTGCGTTGGGAGTGGTGAGGGCTGGGGTGGCGGTGTTGAAGGGCACGGGGGTGAGGATTAATGGGATTACGGCGGGGCAGATTGATGTTGGGGTTGATTTGAGGGAGGGGGATGGTGGGGAGCAGCAGTTTCCGCCGGCGAGGTTACAGGGCGCGGAGGTGCAGAGGAGGGTGGTGGGGTTGGAGCGCGCGGGGAGGCCCGAGGAGGTCGGGAGGGTGGCGGGGTTTTTGGCGAGTGGGTTTAGTAGCTATGTTACGGGGGCGGAGATGAGGGTGGATGGGGGGGCGAGTGTGATGAATCCGTTGACGGTGCCGGTGTAGGGGGTGCGAGGTGGCGGGATGGACATTGGGTAGATAGGAAAGCAACTGTGGAATAACTGGACATGACGAGAGCCTGTACAAGGTACTTCGTACCGGTGAAGGTAGCAACCATAGAAGCTTCAGTATATTGTATGACTGTGGCATGTTTGTGTTACCCATGTCGGAATGTCTAAAGTAAGGAGCGTCGTACACTGCTCTTGGACGAGAACGCAGAGATCGTTTAGACTGATTCAATTTGCACCACGTCTGAATGTTCGTCAGTAATATTGTTTGCTACCTCCAGATTGAGCCGTACGTGCACGTAGGTAGCCTCGAATATTCTTCATCTCGCAACGCATCTCGCGAGTTAGCGCAGCAGATCGTAATCATGACACAACCTCATGCAACGGCCTAGACGTGATCAAGGTGTAGGTCACCGAGACATGGCCGGAATCCCTCAAAATTGCTTGGAATTGTTCAACTCGGCCTCCGCGACTTTGTCCTCGTAGTCCTTTAGCAATCGTTCCATCGCCTTGACACGCCTCTTGAACTGTGCATATGTGACGAGAGGCTCAACTATCGAGTCATCCTTCAAGATCCCTTCTTTCTCCACGTCCTCCAATATTGACAATTGGTGCCTGTGCCTCGTCCAATGGCGCTGCAACGAATTCGCAGTCATGGCCGGAGAATGACACGTGCCTGGCAGATCGGTTTTTGGGGGCGTCCATGACGTCTCGGATCCTGTCTGTTGTTGTTCCAGCTGAGCTAATTGCTTCGAGGCGTCTACGATGATGTTCTCTGCCATAGAACGTTCCATTTGCAGTGTAAGGACCCAAGAACTAAGGTGCCGGAGTGTGATATGCAAGGCTTCCTTTTCGGGGGTATACTCTGAAAGCTTGAAGTATTCGGGCTCTCGCCTCGCGAGATCTTCCCGCACGTAGTTCAGCTCAGCCGTGATCCTCGCTCGTGCGTTCTCCACGTACTGGATATACTGTTGAAGCTGCTCGACACCAAACTTGTCTGGACTATTTACATATATCCGACGACCAAAGCCGTCGTACTCACAGCCGGACATATCCGTCGAGCTGGGACTGTTTTGCTCAGCAGATGTAACAGATGTAACTGTTGGGGGCTGCGGCTCGGGTGGGATAGAGCGCGAATACTGTATCATTAGTCGTTCCTCTTTTTGTAGCTTATGGGACAGGTATCTCCTCGCAAGCCACGGCAATGAAGCCAAAAACTGGTCGTCTCTTGCCAGGCGCTCAAGCGTTGAATAGTTTGCGTGGGCTGCGTTTTGACGTAGAAGGGTTGCCTTGAACCATCTTTCTTGTTGGAGACTTTCGAAGTATAGCTGGCCTGACATTGTGCCGAGTGGGCCTCCAATGCACGCCATTCCAACATAGCGCCTCCAGCCCATAGCTCCAGGGAAGGGTCTCCTGTTGAATGCGAGCGCCATGCCAAGTGCAGCACCTCCCAGCCAAAAGTTGTCCTGGGTTAGTTGGCCATTATTCTCCCACAGTTTGCCTGGAGTCTTATTTATCCCCTCTCTCTTGAGCACTGCATCGTTAACGGGGCCATCAACAAAGTATTCTTCTGCAAGGACGAAAGTTGCCTCGAGGGCTGTGAAGGCGGGGATAGAGCGCACGAATGTTCCTTGTCGTGACTTTCCTAACACGGCCAGAAGACCCGTCCACGCACCAGCAAGGATGCAGCCGAAAGCTGAATCTTTGGGATTTCAGGTCTTGCGCTCAATGGTGCTGGATTGTTCGTAGTCTGCCCCTCCCCTACAATTATGTTAGCTATCAATTGCCTACGTTACGTCTGATCAGTGATGACATACCTGCGGGGACAAACAACCGCACCATTTTGGCGGCGAGAGTTTTGTTTGCAACCGCAAGAGGAGCGAACTGAAACTCGGGCAAGGCGCGTGGTGATTGTTCACGTCGTGGAGGAGGCGGGAAGGAGCGAAGGGAGCGCGACTTCCATTTCGCGTCGCACAGCTTCAGCCACAGCTTTGAAAGTGTGGCTTGACTGAGGTGCCGCAACAGCAGGCAGCCAATGCGAAAATTCCGATGTCGATGTCATTGTGGCGCGTGCTCCCTTTTGGCATTGGCCCTGGTCTGGTGTGGGTCACATTGATGATCAACTAATCGGGCTAATCTTGTCTAATACAGGGGCTGGACACGTTGGCTCCATCAATCTTCCGGAACGCAATTGTAATATAATATTATATATTTTATTGCAGCACAATTCTTTCATCAAAGAACATGATCCAAGTGATGGTCTTATGGTCTAGTGGTATGATTCTCGCTTAGGGATTACGAGTCACATCGTTCCTGAGCAATTTGCGAGAGGCCCCGCGTTCGAATCGCGGTAAGACCCATCGACTGTTGTTCTTTTCTTTTTTTCATACTTTTTGTATGGCGCATACAATTCAGGTGCAATAAAAATCTTGTTCTGTCAATTTTTTGTTCGTTTTTAGACTTCCTTCCATTATGTATGCGGACTGCTAGAATTTAAGCACCAGAAGAAAAATTATATTCTCTCTCATTCATTCGTCGATGATTGCCGTCCGTCCACTACGCGCTCGTTCTTGCTCTCTCCGATTGGACTTTTAGAATCCAGCATGCCATGACTTACTTCCACTCTCATTATTATCATATCGCTATCATTAATCATTTCCGCACCAAAGCAGCTATCTATTACAAGTCATCCCTCTCTCTCGCGCGACACCGATCAACGCAACAGCAAGGAAGTGGCTCCAGCAAGGACCCCACACGCCCAACCAGCTACGCCCCACCATCAACCCCAAACCCTCCTCCGATCGCACCCCATCCGCACCGCCTCCCACATCCCAGCACCATCCATCTCACCGCCAAGTCCCTCCCTCCTACAATCTACGCACCACATCTCTCCCCCTCCCTCCCTTCTTCTTTCCTTCTATCTACCCTTCCCTACCCCCCACCCCAATAACCTCCTCGAATATTCCAGAAATCGTCCGCCTCGCGCCTAAATAAACATCCCTGTCGCAGATTGTCGCATACAGACAATATCCTCGACCGGCAGCAAACGATAGATTGGCCGAGCCACGTCGGCAGAATTGAGGTGCGGACTATGCCGAGAGATCGACGTGCAGGCTGCTGCTGGAGAGGGAGATCAGGATTTGCGTGCGGCATTGAAGGGATGATGGATGCGTGCATGGATGATGGATGGGGGTAAGGTATATCGTTATTAGATAGATGATAATGAAGTAGTTGGTGGTAGTGGTGTGGGTACAGTACTGTATATATTATTATATGAGTATTGTTTGTGTACAGCGGCAGTCCCGCTCTCGCCTGCTTCCGAATATATGTAGCAATTTTTGTACCCCTACGTGTCTGTCTGTCTAAACCAGCTGCCTAGCAGTGCTTGGTGGTGATACACACTATAACACAGCGCGGGCAATTTTGCTCTCGCGCCGCGCTCCCAAAACTTCCCCAATATATACCCAAGAAACACATTCTCCCGTGAAAAACTCCGGACTGCTGAGACACAGCAGACATGCGGGAAAAGAAAAGCAACAGGGCGTCTCATATCGCTCGCGAGTACAAGAAATTCGTTGGACGCTATAGGAGCAGGATTATATCAATGCCAGATCGATCGGTGGATATAGAGCAGGATGATGCATGAACGGATGAGCTAGCTTGCATGCTAGCGACGGTCCGGAATATGAAGTAAGAAGGGGGTGCTTGATATCCTGTATTTGCTTGCTTGCGTATGGACACGCTTCCAATACGCGCGTTCTAAAAGGGCATGGTCTTGATGTATACGATTGAATGAACGAGAGTCATTAATAACAGGCGTGGACAAGTCCAGCCAATGGCTGTGCGAACCAAGGTTGGGACGAGTCTCGAATAATGCCGGACTTCGGCTTGGGGAGAGACAGCTTCGCTATCGTCTAGGTATTTGTAATTTGCTCACGGAGCATTAGCGGTCTGTGGGGTATCGGTGGAGGATGGAGCGGTTGAGACACCGTTCTCTTTAGGCTCGCTCGGTTTGCTTTGCTCGTCTGGGTTCGGCGCGTCGTGGTACTGGCTGTCGCGACCAGAGTTGTCGCTTTGGCCGCTGGGTGTTTGGCCTTCGTCGTCGGCATGGTCTTCGACGCGATCCATGTCGACGTCGCCGTCTGCATGTTGGCTTTCGGGGCTCTCTTCATCCGCGAGGCGGCGCTCCACTTTTTCGCGTTTGATCTGGAGGGGAGAGTGGGAAGATGCACGGTGATGTCCGCGAGCATGCGCTGTGTGGTCTTGACCCTCTTCAAACACCTTTCGGGAGTAGTCGTGCTCTCGCATCGACGCATCGACGCCGCCCGGGAACATCTTGCCCATGATGTGGTTGTGCTTCTTCTGGACACTCTGCGTCACATCAGTCCCATTAGGTAGATATGCAGTAGGACTAGGTGTCTCGGTGTCGCGAGGGGGATGATGTTCCATAGAGAGACTCGAAGTCGGAGTGCCTCGTTGCTCCTCTTTCCGTGCATGCACCTTTCGAAGGTTGGCGGCAGATGACTGCGAACGCATATCGGGTCGTCCGTCCTTGCGGATGAGGACGCCATCAGCGTTGCGAATCGGCTTCGTCCGGGTCTTCTTCGTATGCGCGTACGGATCCTCGGGGAGACCGATATGCGTGATGCCAGGAGTGACGCCTTGTAGTCCTAGGCTCACGGCGCGACCACCAGAACTCGAAGGACGACCTCCACGATTCATACCGCCGCCACCACTTCCACGGCGAAGGATGCCACCACGGCCAGTGCGAGCAATGTGGTTGTAAAAGCCGTCTGGGCTGGTCTGGGAATCAGGTACACCCTGCCAGTCATCTCTCTCCCATTCCGGGGTGCCAAGATGCACGTGTGTCGGCAGGCTCTTCCTAACGCGTCCTCCACGACTGCCTGGTCCACCCCGGCTGCCTCGGCCTCGCGCTGGACGCTGCTCGGCCATGCGTTGGGACTCTGGACGCCAACTGTCATCCGAGGGAGCTTCTTGAGTGTTGTACGCGACAAATGCATTGTGCTGTGACGGAAGCGTGGATTCAGGCATGGACTCGCGGGCGTATGTCTGCGACGGGAGCGAGTGAGAATGAGTGAGCATGCGTGGCTCAGAGTCATCCGTGTCCATGTGTTCGTACGAGAGGTGTTGCTGGAGTGGGGTGCCTTGCTGCGAGTTCGCATATGGAGCGCGGGGTTCAATGGGCGCGAGCTTTGGCCGTTTAGGAGATTCGAGAGGCTGCCCGGCGGGATCGTGAGTCCCCTCAACGGCCCCAGGGTGAGCTCGTTTGCTGCTTGCATTGACAGACACCCATCCGCTTTGGGCGGGTTCTACCCTCTGAGATGCTTCTGGCGTCGCGACCGCGTGGCTGCCGTGAGAGTGAAAAGACGCCGGCCTGTGGGTCTGGTGCGCAGGAGTGCTGATGGGTGGAGTATGGTAGGCCGGAAGGGTGTGCGAGGAATGGACAGAATGTGTTGATGGCTCTCGTGGTGATGGGAACTGGTGGGCCGTAGGCTGGGAAGGTGCGGGCGGGCCAGCAACCGGCGCGGCTTCCTCCAGACGGCGAATCTTGTTCTTCATAATCTCAATTGTAATCTTCAGCGTGTCCACTTCGTTCGCCTTCTCCGAGACATTGGCCATCTGTGCTGCCATGAGCTCGAGTGCCGAGTCCTGTGCAGACACAGAGGGCCCATTAAGGCCCGGGCCAGCAGCTCGCACGGCTTGCACATCCCGCGACAACGTCTCCAGGAGGTCGTGCACGCCCCTCATCTCATGGCTGAGCCTGCCGACGGCCTCGTCGACTCTCCGAATCTCCAAGCTGTGGTGGTGCAGCGACGTCTGGAACTCTCTCCTGAGGCTGTCCTCTTGCTGCGTCACCTTCTCGGCAAAGTGCTGCATGTCTCGGCCATGGACAGTCAGGGCGCCACTGTTCTGAGAGATCTGGGTCTGCAGGCGTTCAATGGCATCCAGCTGGACCTCCTGCGGCGACCTGGGGTAGTACTGGCCGTTGGTGCGCTGCTGCTCGACGGGCGAGTGCGAGTGCGACACGACGGGTGGCAGCTCCCTCGAGCGATTGGCGAGGCCAGCGGCGGTGGCGTCCTTGGACGGAGGCTGCGAGAACGGGGGCACATCGTGCACCGGCTTCACAGCGGGCGAGGGTGACGGCAGCGGATGGCTGGGTGACTTTTGAGGGAACGAGTGCAGTGGCGGCGGCGCTCCAGGCGAACGCACAGCGGGGGGAGGCAGCGACTGGCGGTTGCCCTCGACCTGTTGCAAGGGCTGGTGGTGCGGGTGGTGCTGGTGCGGATGATGGTGGTTATCCTGGTGGTGGTCGTGGTGGCGCGGCAGCGGTAGTGGGCCCGGCGGTGGGGGTTGTGGTTGAGGTGCATGCGGTGGGCGTGTGTCAACCTCCATTGCGTCGTCGGGTGTTGGGATGGTCGCTGCAGCGGGAGGAGACGCGCGCTCGGAATCGTCAACGGGAAGCGGCTCGGGCGCGTCTTCGACCTGGGGCTCTACGGCTGTGAAGGTGTTGGGCGCAGTCTCGCATCGCAGCTCAATGCGGGGCAGCTTGAAGAAGTCGCGGCCGCTGGAATTGCAAATATATACGTTAGCAGCGAAAGCGAAATAATAGTTATCAAATGCTGGCCTGATATTGGTCTCGAGGCGTTAATACTGGATGCAGGCGATGCGCATGCACCACCCCGGCAGCCCAGCGCCACACGGCCGGATGCGCGCAAGGCCATGGCATGGTACAGAGCCGGCGGATGAGAGACGAGAGACGAGCGACGACAGACGGGGGGGGGGAATGGGCACGTACCGAAAGGCCCGCTTGTTCTCGGGCGCGTCAACCACGGTGAGGCCAAGGATGTCGGTGCAGCCGGGGCAGGCCAGCGGCTGGATGAGGCTGTCGGGGCGCGTCAGTAACGGTGTCAGTTTGCGAGGCAGGACAATGCGGGCAGCGGGCAGGCAGGCGGGTTTAATAGATGATAAACGTATAGTGTGGAAATTGTGTTAGTGCAGACGCGCTTAGAAAAAATTAAAATACCATGTCCCAATTGATTGGTGTGCCAGGATAAGCTCATACTATCCACGCTCGACTGGGAATGGCAACACAAATGGGCTCGGCTTCAGGGCCGCAGGGCTCAGAGCTTACCATCCGTCTAAATCAGTGCCCACGCTCGCTGGCTTGCGCCCTCGGTGCGGCCTGAGCCTGCTACTGTAAGACGCGAGCAGCGCCGGGAGGTACCAGGTCGTCGTGACCTTGTGCCAGTCGTTGTACCACTCGCCCACGATGCCATTGCACTGCTTGCAGAAGCCCGTTGTCGAGCGGCTGGCGGGGGGCGACACTGGGGGGGTCTC